TTATCATATTCTACCTGAAAATCAACGTTATGTTTACGAATCGTCTGCAGTTCTTGGGCACAAAGCCGTCTCTGCTAAGCTCATCTGTCATCTATTAATCATATACTGTTACCTCATCGTCGCCTTTTCCTCTACTTTCAGACTGACATCACATCTTTCACTGGCCTGTGTCTCGTTACTACTACTTCATTTCCGCAGCCTATGTCTAACGGAAATTCTGAGTATCCATTTTCAGTCATGACGCTGCTACATTCTTGACAACAGTTTTTTATTTATGTTCGTCAAAGCTCAGGTATCAAAGCCGTACACAGTTGCCGGCGTGCTCCAATAACATGCTATTATTCGCAGTCACTCGTGTTTTCTAGAATGGCATCTTATTTCTGCACGTAAAACATGCCATGGACGACTTTCAGCGAGTTGGGAACCGCCGCAACGGCCTGAAATCAGTTATCAAACGTAGACACATTCATGTGAGTGAATTCCATGTGAGTGAATCAGTGAGTTTAATGACTGATGGAATGAACCCTCAGCGGGTTATGAATTCACTTTTCCTTATCTCCATTATCACTCACCCACAGTGAAAATAGTTAAGTGTTTGCCATTGAAGCCCAGGTCCCAATTTATTTTGGGCAATAACAAATAATGACTCAAGTCAATTTGGACGGTACCTCTCGATAAATATTGTTGTAAACCTTGATTTCGACTGGACCTTTTAAAAAGTTAATCGTGCGGCAGCCTACGAATACCTGTTCGGGGTTTATATGAATAGTTCCTAGATTCGCCGCTTCCAACATTTACACCTAAAAATCTGCAACGTCTTCTAACATGTCAGATACGCGTTCACAGTCTACAAATAAACAGCAATAGATAGACAAGGAATCTATACTCATACGCACCCCCAACGCAGCTGATTCAATAATTAGATGCGATCGAGTAATGAAGATTTTCTGGGAAGCCTAGCCTGATCAGTCACCTGTTACTCATCTAATTTCTTGCTTAAGCTGTTTGACAGCATTTTCATGAAAACCTTGCAAATGTGTGATGGTAGTCATACGCTTTGAAACTTCTGTCGATCACCTTTCTTGCAAAGCACCGCTGTTAATTAAGTTTTGCAGTTTCTAGGCTTCTCGCCTTATTGGAGACATCTTGTAAATAAGTTTTGCGATACTGTGCGGATCTTTTGGTCGGTGTGATTTCATGCGTCCACAGACATGTAATCTAGACCTACAGCTTTCCCACTATTGATCTGGAACAGAAGAGACAGCAAGAGTTTCACTTTGTGTAATTTCAGGCGCATCATACGACACCATTTTTCTGTTAACTGCAAATTACATACGATCCGCAGAACTAAAAGAAAAATCCAATACACGCCGTCGTATAAATCAGGTTTAGAAATTGATAAGAAGGCCACAGGTCACATTTGTCAAATAAAGCGAGCCATCTGCTTCATTCAGCTGTTCCTTGTGGTTTGAATGGACAGACGCTTCAGCAGATTTCCGCAACAACTGCGACATATGCAGAACAGCAATAAGCCACACAGATCAGCCCCTTGGTAACCTTTTATATAACTTAACAAAGAAAGCAGCTCACAAGCAAGGGTATTTGTAAACGTATCGAATCACAAGACACCAGTCACTTGCGAAAGAGTCCAATCTTTCGCCACTTGCATTCGTCAGCGTATTCTTTCGGTCAATATCCAAAACTGATTATCAAAACGAAAAATATGATATGCCGCGCAGACAGAAATGAGGTCATACAGCTTCACAGTGATATGAACTCAGCATTTAAGCGGCACCAGTAATGCAAATTATGTACAAAAAATAAACGTTTAAAATCTACAAAACCACAAGACATGAAGCTAGTCATCATTTTTAACCGTGCAGTCTCTCTACTTAATCTAATTACGAAACCTATTTTCTAAAAAATGATTCATTACATTCAACAAACGGATGCTGGCCATGCTGCAGAGTTCGCAAAAGAAATGACACTTAATGAACTAGCACTCTTCTTATTTCTCAAAAAATGTATTAATAAGCAAAAATAACTTACAGTAAACGTCGTGGAAATCGTGCAGCGTCATGGCGGGTTTACTTTCGTAAAAGTAGAATTTCAAGCGTCCGTCGGAGAGCATGTCCCTGATCATTGCCGTGATGTTGATTCCAACAATCGCAAATGGATAGCCGTTGTGAAACGAGTACGCTTTCAAGATCATGTGGCGCGCAGTGCACGTTTCCTTCTCGCAGAAGTAGATTAGTTGCTTCAGTCCAAGTAGACCCATGCCACGGAAATCTGTAGACGGATCGTCACTCTGAAAGCCGACTAGCTTCCAATCGAATTCCTTCTCTGCATTTTCATCGATCAGTACCCGTAACTACAAGCAAAACAGAAAAAGCATGCGAAATCTTCGCTACACTAACCTGAACACGTACTACAACACGCCAAAAATATTTTAGCATCGTTGTTTGCCACTATGCTTGCAAGAATCAAGCTGAAAATAATACCTCGGCTCAACTGTTCCGTCGAGCTACATCGATATCCGCAATCATGGATTGCCGCATCTGATATGATGTACATAACTACATAACAATAATACAAGGAACAAGTTAAAAATCCGGGACCATTCGTTTAAGACTTCTGACTAAAGCCTATTTACATCAATTTCCAACAAAGCAACACGTAGAGGTGAGTCGAATGTAACTTAATACTGCAATCGGTGTGAAACAACGTTCTAAATTTAAGTAAGAATTCCGCAGGTAAACATAATTCCACCAAACCGAGATACACGATGTTATGGTAGCGCCCTCGCTTTTATATATCTAGACAAGTTGTTAAAGGAGACTATAGTCCTGTGGTATTGTAGCATCTGTATCGCAAAGAGGCATTTTCCTCATTTTGTTCACTAAAACAGTACTACTCATGGCCCGTGGCGCTTCGGCGGCCAGTAGTTTTATATATCGTTCGCATAAGCACAATATCTACGGTTTTTAGATCTTCCGTCGTGTTCGCAGCTTTGCAATACTTTTGTTATAAGGGACCAATTACTAAGGCACAGAAGAAAGTAATTCTCTCCAAAAGCAGGTCTGTGTCTACCTTGCTCTTCTATGTTGCATGCTGGCCTCCAGGTCGAAGTCGCCGTGTTTCGGCAGAAACACACGAAAACTTTATGGGCTGGAAGAAACTGTTTGAGTGCTACCAGTTCGTCTAATACGGTCAACCTCCGTTTCTTAATTTTAATATCTAATGAGGTCACCTATGCCGGGATGAGAATACAGTTATCCCACACGTGGTCCTGCCATTTAAACGTCGTTTGAAACTTTTTCTTACAACCACGCCCTTCAGACCGTAAAAGAGCACTCTCTGGCCGAGGCAAACTATAGGACTTCAGTGGACAGAGTTACACCTTTCTCAGCCAAATTATTGGACAGATTACCAATAACACTTGACTGTAGAATTATTTTCCTATTTAAATTTGGCTGGATGGTGCCGTCGCTAACAGAGACAAGATACCAGAACTGGTCAGACACTCCAACTGCTTCCCTCCCTGTTTCACTTGTTCAAGAACAGCTCTACCGGAAGGCTTCCTTATAACTTTGGACTTAATAAGGAGGTACACTTTCGCTGCGGTGTTGCATACGGAAGCCGCCAGGTGACTGAGGCAGGTCTCCGTTCCACTTACCAACACAATATCATCTGCATGCTCCAAGTCATCAAAATGTCTAGCCAGATATCTCGAACCATATATCCCTCTAGAATTATACTGCATTCGCAAGCGCGCTGTTTCGTAGAAGAAAGGGGAAAACAATGTTAAGTGGCAAACGCGAAAGTGTAGGGAGCCATTCAAATGGCTGTCCCTTGAAGCTGATAGCAGACTTTTCTACATACATCTCTTTCAAAATGGAAACGATGTGCTCATGCATTCCATAGCATTTCATGGCTATCCGCAATGTCGGACGATGTACTGAACCCAATGCAGCCGTAAGCATCAGGAATTTGGCAAGCCAAGGCAAATGGAATCGTCGGCAATGCTCAGTAATCCTTCTGCGCGATTTTGGCGAAATTTCCTGTTATCTGCACGTCTCAACCTTTCCAGGATAATCGAGGAGAAAAGTCTGCCTGGAGTTCCTGAGAAATGACATCAGTGCGATAGCACGATAAGTGAAACACTCGGTCGCCCGACCCCGGTAAAACACAGGGACACCACATTTCCACACATTTCACCTTTATACTCAAGTGAAACGTTTTGAAGTTCACATCTGATGAACTAGGATATGCAGCTTTGCTAATATCCCTGTTCCTCATTACTATACCAATTTTAAGGAAATTCGACCTACCCGCAGGCCTTCTTCATGTTGAGGTGTAGCGAAGTACTGTAGGTTTTTAGTTTTGTGGGTGAATCTTAACTATCTTCTGGTATTGGCAGAAAATAAACAGTTGGAAGGAACGAATCTAGAGGACAGCTGTTGAGCAAGTGCAGGAAATACTCGCTCATCTTTTAAACAGCTCCTTCTGGTCCACCACTGGATCACCGCCAGAGTGCTGGAAACGTAAGGGCCGAGTCTTGTGCTTATAGGACTCGTGTAGAACTGCTTCAAACCATGCTCGTCAGTACCCTATCAGGCTGCCTTGTCGGTCTTCTCGATTTCAACCCCCTCCCACTATTCCCCACCCCAGCGAACGCTCCCTCTAGCGCCTGCCTTCTAACGTGCATTAGAGTGTTGCACGTGTGCACTCTTTGTCTGATTCGTTTGTACTCTAAAGACTAGGATCTTCTAGCATGGTTAATCTCCACTAGACACCAACCAGGTTTCTTATCGAAGAAATGGCACCTTTTGAAATGTTGTCAGCTTCAGCGACGTTGCTTGTCCAATGCGTGGCATCATGGGATACTAAAATGACTATATAGTATTGTCACACTTGGCGCCAGTCTCGAGTGACAAGTTGCGTCATTCGCGATTGATGATGACGTGGTCCAGGGCATCTAGGACATCGTTGGGTATTTAATCTTGCATTGTGAAACGTCCAGGTAGTTTGATGAATAGCCTGATGAGGAAAAAAGGGCTTCACAAGCCGAAAATAAGTCTGCAAAAGCTTAACAGACACCTGAAGTTATCGTTCCTACAGTAAATACCACGATGACCGAGTACGCTTGGCCATGTGCTGACCTTGCACTCAAATAAACGGACAGCTTTCATTGAATGAATGACATTCGTAAATCGAGGGTTAGGTGTATTTAGCGAACTTAACGTCTGTTCAGTAAGTGCAGAAAGAAATGACGCCTATTTAAAAAATAATTTCTTTCTTATGTCAACAGTTTCATTAGCTGTAACGGTAGAGTACAAAACAAATCACAAGAAACAACTGAACTTTTGAAACACATAATCAACAAGACAAATATCCTATTTATGAATACCTTATTTAATAAGCTTTTGTGAAGTGCAACTGTCGGATCGAATTTGATTTCTCTAACTTGCTCTACCTGACGAATCAGCGTATGGTATCGGTTAATTTTGCCCAAGCAACGAAGCAACTCGACGCCCAACTCGCGACACATATTCTTCGATTCCATAATACGATTACATTCTCGACCAACGTCAAATGTCGCACGATTACGCAAAGCTCGAAAACACACCATTTTTGACTGACTCAAGGAAAACTCTAAATTTACCAATTAACTGTCGTCGATGAAACTTCGAAACTCGTTTATTCTACAAATTTGCGAAAATAGCACGTAAAACTAACCGATTAACATTTTAGCCGTCACATTCGGACGAGTAATATAACAATATAGGCTTAACATTTAACAGCCAAACATCACAGTAAAGCAAAAAAAACAGTGAAGACAGGAAAGTAATTTGTGCATAAAATTAATAAGGTAAAAAACTGATATCTAAATATACACATTACATGATAGAATCAATTTATGCAGATGCAGAATTTCATATTCGTCATTATGCAAAGCCCAAATCAACTGCAGTATCACAATTTTCTGCATTTTTGAGTTCTTGCCGAGATGCACATCGAGACGAACGAAAACAGAAGGTGTATCTCAA